ACGGAAAACAGAACATCAGTCTAATCTAGTGTTTAAGGTGAAGTTTTCAAACCCAATCTAAGAGAATCTTTAGAGCAACCAACAAGCTGAACGGCTCAGAAGGTGGTATTGACAAAGAAATAGGGCTGAAATATTGCGAAACACAGTGCTTGTGCATTTTAATAACAAGTGGGTCAACAAGGACACAGCTCCCTTGGAGCCAATAGTTGCCACCAACTACGTAAATTGCCATGCCAAGACTACGAACGCTCCCAGTTCATCAGCTTTCTTAAACAGTTCATCAGCTTTCTTAAACACCCTAAAACCCCCTTGGTGGACCTTTAGTCTTGAATTAACAAATCAAAGCAATGAAAAAGGGTGCAGTCTGAAAGGCTAGCATTGATCCCCCCAACCGTGCTCAGCTCTGCAACAGGCACTGAAAAACTATTGTGACCAGAAATTGACAAGCCTCCTCTCTTAAAATAGTACAGCTGAGCCAGGCTGGATCCAAGCAGCTGTAAAGGGCTCCACTCTCAGGACATAGAGGAAGTAACAATAGAACAAGCATGAGCTCTTTGTCAGTGCCAGACTCTGCAATTTCCTAACAAGGATTTGAGTTGTTTCATTCTAGTGCTTTTGAATAGAGATTTAGCAACATACCCTGATTTTTTTTTCTCTAGTATGCTTAAAAATGTGGTTAAGGAATTTCACAGTTCTGCTCCCTAAACTAAATTAGAAAAAAGATGTAATTAATATTGGCTTTATTACCGTTGCCTGTTTGCAACATTTTTAGCACAGTACAATTAGTTATAAAACTAGAGAGTACGCGTTCTGTGTGTTCATGTGTGAAAATGCATGTATTCTGCTGGTGGAAAGCAGAAATAATTAGCGTTTCTAATGTGACGCCTGCAACTCCACAACAAATCACAAGGCAATATTGTTGATGTTTATATGACTTCTGAAAGCTGTGAAGCCTTTTTATAAGATGGTTGTGGAAAGCTGTGATTAGTAACTGTTATATACCTGTAGTCAGGATCACAGACAGATGCTTGAGAAGGAAATACACAATACTATTGTATTTAGCACTTTCGTCTTGTTGCAATAATGTAATGTGCATTTGCATCCATTTTTACATGCATTAATACACTACTGTGTGCTGGCATGCCTATTCAATGCACTATTATTGTAATCAATAGGCCTTTTATCAAGCAGGTACATAAGAAAAAATGGACATGAACTTTTTTGCTAACTTATGTTGCAAGGATGTGAACAAGTACAATTTAAAACCGTGGCTAACCTATGTACATCCATCAACCATAGGAACATTTGAAAATGGAATATTAAACTGTCACTTCTAAAACTGTAAGCAACTAGTAATCTACATAATAATTTGCATGGAAAAAACTAAGCCAGTAGGATAACATTTTTTTACTCAAATATCATTTTATTAATAATCATTATAAAAAAAATTGCAAATGAAGCAAATAAAAAAAAAAATAGGTAGCCTTTCCTCAAAAAGTAGAAATTCTAGGAGCACAAGAAGTTGGTACAAGACATTTTGCAAGTAAAGTGGTAAGTATTTTTTTTCAGACCCAGATGCTGCAAATTGTTACTGATCAGAGAAACACATTTTCTTCTGTCATATTAACTGCATTTAATAATAATAGCTGACAATTACTGAATTCGTGAAATCCCACTTGGTTTAGTTGCTATAGCATAAACATTCTTTCTGTTGTACAGATTCACTGGATATGTATTAAAGCCCAACTCCAACAATAAGAAAAAAAAAATCCCTAGCAGTAAACCCTCCCCCCTCGCAAGGGTTGAATATCTTTTTTTTTGAATGGGGGTCTAGGGGTGGAGGAATAAAAAAGTATATGTTTCTTATTCCTTGCTCCAGAAGGGTCACTCCAGCTCTGTGACTGATCCCGCAGAGCCTCCTTTCTAAGGCGCCCCCAGTCATTGTCACATGCTTGCCACCTCCACATGCAATGCAGAGAGGGGAAAATCCATGGCTTGTACATGATGACACACAGAGATGGCTCAGAGTGCCAGAGGGTGATGAATAGAGCACTGGAGTGATGTTAGGGTAAGCTTACACCCTAGGTTTTGCAGTGTGCGGTAAACCCATCACAAGGGCTTTTTTTTTTTGCTTCCAGACCAGGGCTGGGCTTTAAATTTCAGGTTACAAATACTGAATTGTGAATATTTTGTTTAAACACTGTTCTTGTACGGATTTTTCAGCTTTAAACTAAAGTACTACCTTAAAATTTAGTTACAGTTCAGCATAAAAATACCACCATTAATTTTAGTCACTGTACAAGTCCAATTTCTAGAATTTTAAATTAGAACAATGCTATGGTACTCTTGGTTTTAAATTTATATGAAAGGATGTTACTACATTCTCTGATACACCTGTCAAACCAGCATGCATGCCCAAGAGTCTTCTTTTAAGCTCATGGATAGTATAATTAAATATACCTGTACTCTGTGCTTTTCAAAATTCTTGGTTATCACGAAAGCTCCCATGCAAATTCTGACGTTTCAAAATTCAGTTCTTGCATGAGCTGTCTGTGTATGAAAAGTAACTCAGACACCCAGAGCTTTCACGTGGGTGGCAGAGGGTATTGTCCTTGCTTGCACCATACCCCAAAGGTCTGTGCCAATTCCAAGGCTATAAAAACACTCTATATAAGGTGTCAGATTACAATAAGATGCCCAGAATTCCAGAACAAGCTTAATTTGGCAGCTTTGCTCAGCATATTGCTTTAAAGGGAACCTACACTAAGGAAATATGGAAGCTGCCTTTGTTGATCACTGCTTCTAAAAATGCAAAGGTCTGAGTGCTTCCTGGGGCACTGGTATTGTGCATGTATGCATCTCAAAATTTCTCATTTCACTCTGACTTTCTTGATTTGCTTGATCTTTCTAGGAAGCCATAGAAAACCAGGCTAACGGCATTCCCACCCACTGGACCCGACCCGAAAGAACTTCCTGAGAGCTTGCGATATGAGAAGTTTTAACTCATATTATTGTGTGTGTATATTATATATACATATATACACACACACAGTGCCTTGAAAAAGTATTTATACCCCTTGAAATTTTCCATTTTAATATGTTACAACCAAAAACATAAATGAGTTTTATTGGGATTTTATGTGATATACCAACACAAAGTGGCTCATAATTGTGAAGTGGAAGGAAAATGATAAATGGTTTTCAATTTTTTTTTAACAAATAAATATCTGTAAAAATGTGTGGCGTGCATTTGTATTCAGCCCCCCTGAGTTAATACTTTCGCTGTAACTGCAGTTGCAAGTCTTTTTTGGGTATGTCTCCACCAGCTTTGCACATCTACAGAGTGAAATGTTTGCCCATTCTTCTTTGCAAAATAGCTTAAGCGCTGTCAGATTGGATGGAGAGCGTCTGTGAACAGCAGTTTTTTGAAGTCTTGCCACAGATTCTCAACTGGATTTAGGTCTGGACTTTGACTATTCTAACACATGAATATGTTTTATATGTATTTGTAAGTGTGTGTGTGTGTGTGTATATATATATATATATATATATAAAATCCTAATTAATAAGAATTCAACTACTAGTGAGTCCAATTATTCATTAAACAGGTGTCCAGCAGACATATGATTATAAAAAGGCGTTACTTAACAAAGAAAACCCCTTCCCATTTCATGCTGTCAGCAATGGCACCACATGGAAGAGAAATGTCACAAGGCCTAATAAAAGAAAATAAATTTCTTTACACAAGAAAGGTGAAGGCTACAAGAAGATCAGCAAAGCTGTACTTTTCAGTCAGAATACTGTAGCAAAAGGTATACAAAAATTTAAGAAAGATAGAACTGCTACCATCTAACAGAGACATCCAGGCCATCCACAGAAATTAACACCTCGACCGACAGGAGCGCCTTCTGATGAGGGTTGAAGAAAATCGCCATGCAAGCTCACTGCAGTTAGCTAAAGAAGTAGAAAGCCAAACTGGGGTGCTTGTTTCCTGTGACACAATACGGCGTACACTGCAGAGGAATGACATGCATAGGTTTCGTCCACAAAGGAAGCCTCTCCTAAAGCCCATGCACAAAAAAACCTGCCTAGAATTTGCCAGGGCCCATGATGAAGCAGAAGACAACTAATGTTTTTGGAAATGATGGCTTCAAAACTGTAAGGCGTTGCAGAGGTGAGGAGTACAAAGAAAAATGCATGGTGCCTAAGTGAAACATGGTGGTGGCAGTGTCCTTCTGTGGTGCTGCTGGAATCGGGGAGCTACATTTCATTTATGGCATCATGAATTCACAAATGTACTGCTCTATATTGAAAGTGAAGATGCTACCATTACTTCATGTCCTTGGTCATTGTGCACTTTTCCAACATGACAATGATCCAAAACACATCTCAGCCACTGTTTAATTTCTGAAGAAGAAAAGGGTGAAAGTGATTCAGTGGTCAAGTATGTCTCCTGATCTGAACCCAATCAAACACCAGTGGGGAATTCTGCAGAGACAAGTTGAGTATCACTCTCTATCCAGCATCCAGGCTCTAAAAGAGGTCATTCTTGAAGAATGGAAGAAGATAGATGTTGCATTATGTCGCCAACTTGTTTATTCCATGCCTTGAAGATTTGGTGACATCCTTTCAAATCATGGAGGTCATACAAAATACTAGATGTAGTAGTTTTGTTGTGTGGGGTGTATTCATTTTTGCATCAACTAATTTGAGTAAAAATGAAGATTTTGTAATCTAAGTTAAATTATAAACCTTACTTTCATGTAATGAGCTAACAAATGTTCTATAAAACTCAATTTTGGCAACATTTTTAAATTGTTCTTGTGTTCCTTGAGATATTGATTAACCTCTTACTTTTCAAAAGGGGGTGTACTCATTTATGCAGAGCACTGTATATACACACTATATTGCCAAAGGTATTGAGACACCCATCCATATCATTGGATTCGGTGTTCCAATCACCTCCATGGCCACAGGTGTTTAAAATCAAGCACCTAGGCATGCAGACTGCTTCTACAAACATTTGGGAAAGAATAGATCCCTCTCAGGAGCTCAGTGAAATCAAGCTTGGTACCATGATCGGTTGCCACCTGTGCAATATGACTATCCATGAAATTTCCTTGCTACAAAATATTCCATGGTCAACTGTTAGTGATATTATAACAAAGTGGAAGCAACTGGGCACAACAGCAACTCAAACCACAAAGTGATAGGCCACGTAAAATGACAGAGCAGGGTCAGCACATGGTGAAGCGCACAGTGCACAGAAGTCGCCAACTGTCTGCAGAGTCAATAGCTAAAGACCTCCAAACTTTGTGTGGCCTTCAGATTAGCACAATAGTGTATAGAGAGCTTCATGGAATGGGTTTCCATGGCCGAGCAGCTGCATCCAAGCCTTATATCACTAAGTGCAATGCAAAGCGTTGGATGCAGTGGTGTAAAGCATGCCGCCACTGGACTCTAGAGCGGTGAAGATGTGTTCTCTGGAGTGACGAATCACGCTTCTCTGTCTGGCAATCCAATGGTGTGTCTGAGTTTAGCGATTGCTAGGAGATCAGTACTTGTCTGACTGCATTGGGCCAAGTGTAAAGTTTGGTGGAGGGGGGATTATGGTGTGGGGGTTGTTTTTAAGGGGTTGGGTTTGGCTAGTGAAGGGAACTCTTAAGCCATCAGCATACCAGATATTTTGGATAATTTCATGCTCCTAACTTTGTGAGAATAGTTGGAACAGGAAGAATATTGGAACAGGAAGATGGGGATGGATTTTCCTGTTCCAATATGACTGCGCACCAGTGCACAAAGCAAGGTCCATAAAGACATGGATGAGCGAGTTTAGGATGGAGGAACTTGACTGGCTATGCAGAGCCATACGAAGCAGTGTGCAGGAGCTGATAGGGGAGAGATCTGTGTTGTTTATACACAGGTCTCTCCCCCATAGGAGATACTTGGCGATCACCGAGTGCCAGCGAGAAATCACTGGCCGGGACCCGGTGATTGACAGCCGAGGCCGCGAATGGCAGTGCGGGTAGGGTGTGCGCGCCCCCTACCCAGGACTGCAAAATCACGTATATATACGTGATTTTGCGCACCCATGCCGCCTTGTAGCAATATGTCTGCTATAGGGTGGCGTGGAAGCGGTTAAGGAAACCTAATGTACCAGATAACAGACACATCATGCTTACTTCCCTTCAACATCGAAAATTTCCAGCAGTGCCATCAGCACAGAAGTGGCGGAAACCAAGTAGGATCCATGTACACCCATGTACTGTTTGGAAAAGTCTGACGAGAAGCCATCTCCATGGAAGAATTGAGGCCAAAAAAGTCAGACCTCCGATGTAGAAAGAAGACTAAGTGTCTCAACTATACACAAAAACATAGGAACTGGGGCACAGAAAAATGGAGCAGGTGCTCTGGACTGATAAGTCAAAATTTGAAATATCTGGCTATAGCAAGAGGCGGTTTGTTTGCTGAAGGGCTGGAGAGCGGTACAATTATGAGTGTCTGCAGGCAATAATGAAGTATGGTGGAGGATCTTTGCAAGTTTTGGGCTACATTTCTGCAAATCAAGTTGGAGATTTGTTCAGGATCAATGGTGTACTCAAAGCTGAGAAATACAGGCAAATGCTTATCCATCATGCCATACCATCAGGAAGGTGTGTGACTGGCCCCAAATGTATTCTGCAACAGGAAAGTAACCCCAAACATACAGTCAAATAAGAATTATGTCCAGCGTAAAGAAGAACATAATTGTCCTGGAAGTGATGGTTTGGGGTCCACAGATCTCAGTACTGAGTCTGTCTGGAATTACATGAAGAGACAGAAGGATTTTAGGCAACCTATATCCACAGAAGATCTGTGGTTATTTGCCCAAAATATCTGGAACAAACTACTTGTTGAGTCTCTTCAAAAACTGTGTGCAAGTGTACCTAGAAGAACTGATGCTGTTTGTAAGGCAAATGTTAATTTGATTTGGATTTCCCTTCTGTTCATTTACTTTCCCATTTTTTTAATTGATAAAAATAAACTATTAGCACTTCTATTTCTGAAAGCATTCTTAATTTCTGGCAGTTTATCTCTTTTGTGCCTATATGGGAATCAATACACAATTTCTTGACTATATTTATTATTGCTATTTTGGACCATAAATAACATGATACCAAATTAGCACCATATTAATGGTAATATATATTGTATACTATTTTACCTTGATCCTGAGGAAGCATGAACACATGTACAACTATTTATAGAGGGGAAAATAGCATTGTATAAAATCTGAATTATAAGCTTGTTGGTATATTTATGTATGCATTGTAAAACGTACCTTTATATACCAAGCAAAAATCTTTTATTTATGTGTTATATGTAATGATATAGTTTATTTTGTGCACCAATAACTATATATTTTGTATTTTTGCATTGTTTTCTCAATACATTCCAGGGTACTTTATCTCAAAGTCTTATTTATTATTGGAACAAATGTATAGAGTTTGGGAATGCAAGTACCCTATTGAACAGTACATGCAAAAATATCTTGGATACCCAACATATTTACACAAAATCATCATGTCAAAGTTCTACCTTTCCAAATTACTTACAAATAAAAAACATCCTTGAATGCATACGTATTCTCCTTTGCTGTGAAATGCTTAAATAAAGTTTGATGATAGCAACTGTGTGGAGAAATTACACAGTCGTAGTAAGTCCACCTTCCATTTCACGTTGAATTCCAGCCTAAACCTAACTAGACTTAAAAATTTTCCTTCCCCCTTCTAACACCTATGTTGACTAACCTATGTAAAGATGTATATACTTACCTATTTTCAGCCTGCTCCAGTTCAGTCCTGTGAGCTCTCTTATGTCAGCCACTGGCAGCTGCAGGGGACAGGAGGGAGCACCAACAACTGCTAAGACATAGGAAGCCTATAGGTGAATGCTCCTGGAATACCCAGCTGCTGATGAAGCGGGCTTAAAATAGGTAGTTATATACATCTCTTTTTACACAGGTTTGTCAGCATAGGTGTTAGGTGGGGAAAGGGGCATTTTTATGACTAGTTAGATCTGAGCTGGAATTTTACTTGAAATTGTACACAGGTAGACCTACTATAACTAGCTGTGTAACTTCTGCACATGGTTGCTGTCAAAGTTTATTTAGGTGTTTAAAAGCAAACGGTGAATGTGTGTGTAATCAAGAATTCTTTTTTACCTGGCCACATCATCAACAAAAGATTTTAATGGGCAATGCCTAATTATCAAACCATACTTTTCCATTAAATTTACATTTGCAATCAGTCACTGGGATCACACCACCATGTAATTTTGGTGCAGGACCTGTATGTTTAAGGTGTACTGATTTGCAGTACAGGATGAGGTGAGAAGCGCTACAAAAATTAAATGCTTGGGTGGAGGGAGTCAAGTGTTAAACTTTCCATTTAGGGGCTAGATTAAGTGTTAGGGTTAAAGTTAAATGCTTGTTAAATTTAAAGTGGTTGTAAGTGGTTGAAAGTCACATTACAAATTTACTGGTATCCCCTCAGGTTTACAGAGACAAACCACAGTGTGTGTGTTTTTGTGAAAATGATAATGCTAAAAATACCCTTTCTCACACCACCACTGTGCGGTCATCTGATCCCCCTCTGCTCTCCTTCCCTGATCAGAGAGCAGCGGAAGGGGCTGAGATTTACCTCTGATGTCAACCAGCAGAGGGAGACTACATGACTGCACAGCGTTATCATTTTCAAAAAACATACACTGTAGTTTAAAATACACTGTAGTTTATATCTTTATAAACCAGAGGGGATACCAGTCATTGTGTTAGATATTGCAGTGATATAGAGGGGAGGAGCGGGGAGGAGTCTGGCTCTCACACTGACTAGGAAATGACAGGCAAGGGCAGAGGGGGAGAGGAGGAAATGATCGAGATTGAGAACAGACAGTGGGATGACAGAGGCACGTAAACTGACCATGGTATCATGGATCACCAGCCATGATTACCATGATCAGCACACACAGGGGAACATCGGAAAAGGCAGGATCAACCAGGTATTTTACAGCATAGAATGGGACAAATTACACTGAAGAAGCACTATACTATTTATCATGCACTAAAGGAACAGGATTTTTTTTAGGTTTACAACCACTTTAAGTGTTTAGGGAGTGAAACATTAAGAGTTTAGATACAGGTTGTTATTATATACTGAAGGACAACTATTATGTGAGGTGCCTAAAGATCCTAAGATGCAGGAAACTCCCTCAAAAAATCTTTTTATAGAAAAACAAATGCTTAACACTCCATAATACCTGAATTTACATTATTCACTCATCAATATAGGATAGAATTGTCCCATTTGTTACCATGTCTAGCAACTCCTCCACCAATTGCTTGGGGAAATTCAGAGTTAGGAGTTTTATACCCTCTAAAACCCTCGACTAAGTTCCACTAAATGCATATTATCCTTCTCATGTCAGTGAAGCACTCACACAGATAATAATGTTATGAATTTGGTGTGCTCTTCTGCTTTTAAATTTGGCAATTTTATCTGGCAACAATGGTGAAAGATGGGAATGCCCATTTAATCATGCATTGAAAAACAATTCATAGCGTCACCAATATTTGATCTTTTAAAAATAAATGCCTATTTATTTTTTAATTAACAAATTGGATTTTCATTTAAACATTTAAAAATGCATTGGGTTTACATGTATGCAATATAAATCTAAATATTTTCATGTTATGAGAAATATATGATATAGGAATACAGTACAAAAAGGGTCCAAAAACAACAGTGATGTTAATTGTTTCCAAAACTGATATAGAATAAAAGAAAAAATAATGGTGTCAACCCTTTAAAACTTGTGGTAACATGCTATATTCATGTGGTGACTAGACTAAACAAGCACACATGCTTACGCAGGTAGGATACGAAACTTACTGTCAACTAGATAGAATCTTTACTCCCAAGATCATCGTTTGGAAATCCACACATTCTTTATATACATTGTATTCATTCACATATTTTAAATGTCATTGCTTCTAAGCACTAAATTTCATTCTTGAAATCAAAATACAAACACACCAAAGCTACAAAACTATATATATATATATATATATATATATATATATATATATATATGCTATTTTTGCCCATGTTAGGTTCTTTGGAGTGCTAGTTTTCCTTGAGTGCTGATATCATTTCTCGCTTAAGGATGTTGAATTTGTACTGCCCGACGCCCACGACACGTAGTTAAGGGCGCAATGCAGGTAGTTTTTTTCAACCTTTAGCCCTGCTGCGGGCAAGCAGCAGGGCTCACCTGACAGGTGGAAGCATTCGATCAGAATCGAGTGTGAGGTCTCCTGGGCTCCGCTTGCCCATCTGCAGACCTGGTACCAGCTTACCGCCGTTGGCCAGAGGGGATGGAGGAGAGCGGACATGTCCGCTCTCTTCCCCTTCTTGTCCTGACCTGGA